CCCTCCGTCTCGTTCCTCTCCCTGTTTTGAGGATGGACGGGGTGAAGGACGTGCAACAGAGATATAACGAGGAAAGAGAGAGGAGATTGGAGGAGAGAGGGAAAGGGAGGGGGGCAACGCCCCTGCGCCGCAACTGAATTCTCTCTATCAACGATCGACGGGGAAGCTGATTCGCGCGCTGATATTCATTCGTTTCGTCGCCGCGCCGGGGATCGCGTTGTAATGAGATAATCGAGAATAAATTTTACGATCGTTCTGCCAGGCGGAAATCAATTTCGGAGCACCCCTGAGACCCCGGACGAATCACGTACACATCCGCATTTGAATAAATTGTATTATATAATTATATAAATATTATATTATACAAATAACATATTTTACGAATGAAAAAGGTTCTCCAGACATCGCTAGAGGGAAGAAAATATTTCTTGCTCTGATTTTTTCAACGAAAAAAGAAAACGCGTGAAAATATCTACCACATACACGTTTAAATAAAATATGTATTGATGAAATGTCATACTATTTGGTTTGTATAATATATTTATTTTTAACAAAATTGGTACAGAAGTAGTATAGAACTAGTATATTAATCACTAAAGCCTGAAATTGCATAATGAAATAGTATGACATTTAGGACTCTATTCTTTATATTATATATAATATTCAGGACTATGTTTTTAAAATACTTTTATTTAAAATTTTTATTTGTTTTCGCTATTACAAGTGTATTTTGTATTTCAAATATCAAAAGATTAACAATCAATCTTAGTATTTAAATCATAAAATAAAAAAAAACTTTTAATCTTTCAGTTTTAAACACGAAATATGTAATAGTTTCACGTGATCCCTTAAAATAATAAAGAAACTATGTTTTAAATACATGTCCAGCCCTGTATGTACATTTTTACAAACGGAATAAGTTCTTCGGACGTCACTAAATAAACGGAAGAAAACATCTCTTGCTTGCTGAGAAAAATTTCTGATTAAAAATTAATAAACCAGAAAATTCTGATATCAATTAGAATTGTGATTACCTCGACTAGAATTATAATACATTCAATGAGAAAATCCTAATTTAGTAATTTTTCCATTTTCCACCAGAATTCCAATTAATTTGTTCCAGTGTGGACTTACTTTCCAAGTCTACATTCGGAAATACCTGCACCCGATTGATCTCATGTATTATTTCATTCTTGTTAAACATGCAGTGAACAAGGATAAAATGAGACATCCAAGACCACCTGGTGTTTTCGAACACAGTCCAACGAGTATAGAAAACGTGAAAAGATATACAACGAGAAAAATTTCTGATTTAAAACTGCACGAACCAGGAAATTCTGATTAAATCGATCATTCTGCTTATCTCAACTAGAATTATAATAAAATTATAATAAATTCAACTAAAAAATTCTAATTCCTCCATTAATAACTAGAATTCTAATTAATGTATAATAACCAAATTCTTTTTCCAGTGTAATTCAGCGGCGGACCGAATCGAACGATCGAAAAAATGTGAAACCTACGAAAGATTCTGCTCGTCCTTCGAAAGGGCATCGAGATTACAAGCGCTGCGTTAGAAATTCCGCGAGCGGCGAATCCGTGTTAATTAAAACCAGGTTCCCGCGTCTCGGCAGAGAACCCGGAAAGGTACGCTAAGTGCATCCTGAAGCCCGTGTCACACTATGTGCATTGGAGACTGAGGACTGCGAAAAAGAGATTACAATTCGATCAGTTAGATCATTTTAATTTTAATTCCGTTTCGTTTGGATTAGCTGAATTATAATCTTTAATTCACAATCCTCAAAGCGTAGTGTGATTTAAAGGGAAAGGGCAGCTTAATGCTCGTGTCACGTTACGTATTGAAAATCAAGGATCGTGAGATTAGAACTTGACCAATCAGATAATTTTAATTTTAATTCGTTTCGTTCTAACTGGATGAATTCGCAATTCTCAGTCTCCAATGCATAGTGTGATACAGGCGTAAGCACTCGTTTTTCCTCGTCGTTTTATTGTTCGCTCTATAATAACGAATATGATAAAGGGAAACAATAATTGCGATAAATTAAAAGAAAATCGAGCCTTGAAGTACCGGACGGAAGAGCATCGATAACGTCATATGCGATAAAATCTAGGATCCTATGGCCCTAATGATTTCCGTGGTCATGAGAAGAGCGAAACACGGGAAAATTACAAAAGTGAACAAATTTATTAGAACATATTCATAATTTAATTGATCAACACTTAGTGGATATGTTAACTTTTGTAATTTTCATCTCATTTTAAGATACACAATCGACCCTCTGCACAAGGTGCTTCCGCGAGCAATTTTATTCCTTGGAGACCGTGATTTGCTTGCAATCATCAGCACACCGCCCCAAAGCGAGAGGGTTCGTCGAGAGGGAGGGAGACGATGCGACGCGACGCGAATAAGCGTCATCCGCAGTCTAACCTTCGCCCGACCAGTCGACTGCCTGTAACTGGCTCTTCCAGATCTCGCGGTAGGTGAATCGCACGCAAGGACACGCGCCGAATCGCTTCTAGGTCGCTACTCCATGACGACAGGACCAGCTGATCCCACACGCTTTCCGCAGCAGAGATTCGGCGAGAAGCCGTCTCGGGGAGGCTCGCGAAGACTTCACTTTGACGGGGTTCGGCTGCTACTCACCGTTCCAGATCCCGGGGATCGTGATCGCGGATACAACTCGCGATTGTAACACTCAAGGCAGCCGCTGTCTGCGATACAATTGATTGTTGTCCAGAGAAAAAAGAAAAGCGCGGCCACGGAATGGCCAGTCCGATCGAACGAAGCTGAACAAGATCGGATAAAATCAACTAGCTACCGAGCGATCGACGAGCGACGTTACGCTGTATGACGCCAAAGCCAAATGATACTACAATTACTGAACTGTATTGAACGACGCCAACCAACCACCATCGGACAACGCCGACCCCGACCGTGCGACTGACGACTGATTTTTATCGAACCGTCCGCGGTGAAATGAGACTCGCGCCGCGACCGACCCGCCATCTCGCGACGAAAATACGCGGTATCATAGTGGAAGCCATGAAGAAAGATAGGGGCTAGAATAAAAGAAACAGGGAACAGAGAATAAATAAGGGGCTGCTCAAAATAAAAGGAACAGGAAACAGAGAACAGAGAATAAGGGGCTACGCAGAATAAAAGGAACAGGGAACAGAAGCAGAGGATAAGGATTTCAACCTATCAGAAATCATATATTGTAGAATAAACAGTGTGTATTCCATAGTACTTTGATTTCTGATAGGTTGAAATTCTTATTCTCTGTTCCCTGTTCCTTTTATTCTGCGTAGCCTCATAAGATCTGAGTAGAGATTCTCTAACAGAGAGTTTTTCAAATGCAGCTTTTACAGAACAAAATTGTGTCTGCGCACAATGCGATTGATCAATCGATGAATTACAAAAACTCGCCTAGAGTCAAGCCATAAGATATCTAGTTTTGATTGGTCCTCTGAAAGTGGGCAATTCCCGCTCATATCTGAATCACTCGTTATCATTAATGTTATAGCGTTATATTTCGGCAATAAATATAAAAATTGTTTTAAAATAAATAAATATTATGATCTTTATATATAGGCATTATATTTTTCTGATTTTTCAACAATTTATTAATTTTATTTGTTCTACTGATGATTTCAATTAACAGATCGGTCACTATATAGTAAACTGGCAGAATATTATATTTCCACAAATATCTGTTTAAGGCCGAGTTTACATTTTAAAAGTATTTTAATACTGGATTCACACTGCATCCGACGTTCGTCGTACGATGACTCTGTAATTTATCAGGGGCTCTATTCTTGAAAAGAAACGTATACGAAAGTCTAGGGAAATACTATAGTATACGTTACGTATACTATAGTATTTTCCTAATTTTTCGTATACGTTTCTTTTCAAGAATAGACCCCCAGAAAACAGGATTTTGCTTCGTATTGATGATACGATTTTTCTGATTGGTTGCAGAGGCAGTTCGAAAGTTGGAAGCAATGTGAATCCAGCATAAACGAGCCTACAGGCCAGAGCGGCGCAGCGGTGAGCGGCGAGCGATAGCCCAATGAGAGTCATGGTTTGCGTGACTTAGGGCGGGTTCACACCTTGACGGAAAAGCGGAAGAGCAGTTAACCGATCAGAACTCGCGTTGGTAGTAAATAGTACAAAACTAACAGAAAGTCGACTACCTGATTGGCTACTGCTTTTCCGCTTTCCGTTTTTCCGTCAAGGTGTGAACCCGCCCTTACAATTGTTGCGTTCAGCAGAGAAAATAGTTTTGTAACTGTTGTAAAATTCTTTAATATTGGTCTTGCCCTTACTTCCTCATTAGATCTAAATGTATAAACCAATTATATTCAAGACTTTTACAACAGTTGCAGAGCTGCTTTTTCTGCTGAATACAACCATTGGGCTACCGCTCGCCGCTCTATGTCGCCGCTCATCGCTGCGCCGCTCTGGTCTGTAGGCTCCTTATCCCGGATCTACAATGGAGTTTTAAGCCTTAAGCCATAAAAAATAGACGAATCATTTCGATTGTTCTCCTCGAATTCGATTGTAATTAGTTAATTTTTTTACGACTTAAGGTTAAAACACGTATTGTAGATTGGGGGTTAAGCGTATACGTAGCATATGTAAAACGGCGAAACATCAGTGATTGGTCAGATCCTTTGATACACGATATGCGCGTACGGCGATATGCATCATATATCATAATAACATCCTAAAAGACTATCCCAATCAGCACACAATATTTAAAAAATATTTTTTAAATATTTATTTAATGTAAAAATATTAAATGTTTAAAAAATGTTTTTTAAATATTGTGTGCTGTGATTGGGATACTTCGTAAATAAAAATGCGTCAATTTTGCGTTCCGAGTTAAGTTCCGATTCTCGACACCTCACAGCGCTGGTGAACTTTCATAGCTTTGCGCGTAATGAGTGCGAATTATAAACAGTAGTAAACAGTAAACTTCGCCATTATGACGTGTGTGCAAACGAATCGATAGGCGCGTGTGTTTAGCCGGTTTCATATTTTTAAAAAGTGTTACCAACACTTCGACTATGCCATATTGGCTACGTTCAGCAAGCGCAACGATTACACAACGGTTCATTAAAAAGCTGCTGAACGCACTGTTGTCAGTGCCCGATACACAACGTGTTTACTGAGCGGACGTCATTTTTTCCATCATATTTTAAGACCGCTACCTGAGCTCAACACGTTGAGACGTGTAAGAAACATAACCTCACGTGACTTAAAGAATAGAATCGTTCAGCAATTGGTAACCGCTCATTCAACGGTTGTCGCAACATGTTCAAAATAAGTTGAGCTTGCTGAACGTAGCCATTGTATTTCAAGTTATAACCGTGTTTTCACATTTTTACCGTTGTATTTCATATTATAATCGCATTTCCATATTTTTGCTTTGGATTCGGCCGGCATCGTCGCTATTTTTGCAGCGAGTGCCATAATAAATTGAAGAAGAAAAAGAAGTAGTAGTAAACAGTTCCATCTCTTTTACTATTTTCGAAAGTATTAAACGGTAGTAGGAAAAAAACATTTTTCCGATTTTGGAAGAAATCACGAATCTGATTTAGTATAATATATATAATTTTTTAAGACAAATAGAACAAATGCCATTCCATTGCATAGTGCCCGGTTGCAAAACCGGGTATAAGGATGTCATAGATAAGAATACGAGAAAGAAATTAAGTTTATTCAAACCACGTACAGTAAGTTCATAATAGTTTTAATAAAAAACTTGAACAAATTTTTATTTTATTAAATAATACTTTATTTTATTATATTTTTATTTATATTTTATTATAATTTTTAAGTAAGTCCAGATTTACATTCAGTCGATATAGTTAAGTCCTAAATTTAAACCAGCCTTAATCTAACTAAATGACTATAATGTGTGGAGCCGGACTAATATAAAAATTTAACAATAATTTAAATAAAAGATTTGTATTTATTTTAATATTCATATTATACGATATTCTTTTTCTAGAGATACTGCAGAAAATAGAATCATTGTGTATAATTTTAATATAAAATACATTTTTCCATTTATTGTTTTGTGAATGTGCAGGATGATATGTTACTGAAGTGGCAACAGATAATCCAACGTCCTAAATCAAAACCACTATTAAAATCCAACCGTGTTTGTGAGTTACACTTTAGAGAAGAGGACATTAAAAAACACTATGTTACTGAATTAAGTGATGGAAATACTTTTACAATGCTAAAAGGAAAACCGAGTCTTAAATTGGGAGCTGTGCCTTCTAAATTGCTAAATGGTGATGCAGAAAATAAAAGTCAGCCTTCCAGATCTATTCAACAGCACAATAATTTTAAAATCCAAGATCCTACCACAGAGTTAACAACAGAAAATAATAGCAGATCCAACTTGGCAAACTCTGAAGCACAATCATCACCGATACAGAAATATACTTCATCGATACAGGAATGTACCTCGCCGATACAGGAGTGTGCTTCGTCGATACAGAAATGTGCCTCAACGACACAGAAATGCACTTCGCCGATACAGGAAAGTACCTCGCCGATACAGGAATGTGCTTCGCCGATACAGGAGTGTGCTTCGCCGATACAAAAAAAATGTGCCTTGTCGATAAAGAAATATACCTTGGTACCAGTTGATAAATTTACTATGGCACAAATTCAATATAAAAAAGTCATACTCCCAACAAAATTGTGGTTTTCCCAAGTATTTTCAGATAAAATCATATGGGCCCAATGGGGTGACCAATATAATACTGCACGTCGTGTAACTTTGTTACGAGATATGAATCTTCAAGTAAGTAATAAGACGATAATTTTTCATATGATACATAAATATAACAAAATTATAATATATAAACATATGTATAATATACAGGTATATTATATACAAGTCTCACAACTACCGCATTTTTTCTTAAGGATGTATTTTGAGATAATTTTATGACGAGAATCTTAATACAAAAATATCGATATAATAGTTTTTAAATTAATCGCAATTAAGAGGATGTTGGAGCGTCTATATTACCAATAAAACTAGCGTTTTTGACGTTTTCGTTCTTGTCTAATTCGTAATAGTTTCACAGAATAAAAATTTCTTCTCCACGATTTAAATATTTAGGCTAATGTATGTACCTGCCCCTGTGTATTATGTATCCAAAGCTGGAAAAAGTATGAAATCATAGATTTCTTTATCCATTTAACCTCAGTATGGCGACCAACGCTGAAGATAAAAATAGATAAAGAAATCTGTAATTTCATATTTTTTTCAGTTTTAGACACAATATAGACCAGGAACAGATACATTGAATATTTAAATCGTGGAAAAGGAATGTTTATTCTGTGAAACTATTATGAAGAAATTAGACAGGAACGAAAACGTCAAAAACGCTAGTTTTATCGATAATACAGGCGGGTCCAACATCGAGGCTATATTAGTTTTTAAATTAATTGCAATTAAATTCCGCTAATCACGGGTATGTTAAGTTATAGCACCCCAACAATAGTACTCAGGAGTTCTGATTAGATTTCCCACTTCCTTTTGACGAGACGAAGAGTTCCCTATAGTTAATAACAAGAGTTCCGCTCAATAAACATTTTTTTTACATTTTTTAAAAATGGGGTGCTAACTTTTTAACGAAATTCAAGGTCGCATAGTTTTGATCAGCTTAACAGGACTATTTTGTGAATACCTAGAGTTCTTGATACATAAGAAACATTTTTGAAGAATAATAAAATTTAAAAAAAATAGTAGGAATCTTTGAAAAATTTTTTGACAGTACCGAGTAGTTCTGAGTAGCGTTTCTTACAGTTCTCGACGAGTTCTATCGAAAAATGTAAGGTGAAAAAGCGATTGGACCAACGGTTTGTAAGATATAGCGACATTTGTAAGATCATACAATTTTTAAATGAGTATATCTCAGAAACCGTTGGTCCAATCGCTTTAAGCCCTGATACTTTTCGACAGAACTCGTTGAGTGTTTCAATGAAACCTCATGGAGATCCTAGATAGGTCGCGTTAGAAGGCTAGTTAAACCCACCTGCATTCATTTACTACTACTACTACATATATATACATTTCTTGCAGATGTTTATAGAAGATAGACAGATACATATACCGGGATTAAAAAAAATCAAAAGAATTACTGACATGTCTGCGGTTCTTCGCCAAGTTTCAACTCTACTCCCTTGTAACGGAGTAGGAATGGGGACTGAAGGAAAGTAAGAATATTGCCATATGCGTTATATAAAACATAATATTCAAAATAATCAAATACCATTTATTACTTCATAGAACCATAAAATGTAGTGGTTATATATTGGAAAAAAATAATGGTTCCAAAGCACGAAGGTGTGAAATATGTAAGAAAAGACGAATGCAAGTTATGAGACAATTACGAAACATTGATACGAATACATGGAAGGTGAAATGTACAAAAAAATCAAAGGAGCTAAAAAATGCTATTAGACGTAATTTTACATTGCAGGCGAAGGTAATTCCAAAAATTAACATTTATAATTTGAAATGCTAAAAAAACATTTTTCTTTTGGTACTTACATTCTTATTTTTTTTATAAGATTAAAAGACTTCAATTAAAGATAAGAAGCTTGCAACAAAGTGTGCTAAGACAAAAAAACCCAAAGCTATAGAACCCAAAGCTATTGTGGACCTATCTCGTCGTCTGTGATTCGTATTTTATTTCATATTTTCTACATCTGCTGAAATGTTTACTCAATTTTAACATTAAATATACAGAAACATAAGTAAGAATCGAAAAGTGTTTCTCAATTCAAATTACATTAATTAATCGCATATTCTCTTATAAGTACAATAATTGTATTAATCTCGTTATTTTAATTCGATGTACATAAGGGTTTTGTCTATTAATATATAAGGTGATTCAGTTCAATCGCAAGAGTCGACACGTATTTCTCATAAAAAAGTGAATCGAAAATGTTAGTAGCAAAATGTTGTGATATCAATAGTTTTCAAAAGGTGAGTATTTGAAAATAACCAACCACAGAATATGAAATTCGCGCCAGGAGCGGCACAATGCGGTCGGTCGCGCGAACGCTTTGACGAACGTATTGCTAATACGTGAAATCTCTATATTAACATATACTGCGGTATTCTTAAATTGAATCCGATTTAATTGATGAGAAGTAATATCAGTTGTAACAAAAGTAATATCAAATTCGATTCTTAAAGATACATCACAAATTAAGTAGAGCACATCTTGATGTCAAAAAAACACAAGGGCAAAATATCAAGTTATCAGCCCAATTATTTTCGAATAAAAATGTAATAGCTATTGAATGGTATGAGAAAAATAGTTTGATAGTTAATACAGAGTAGAGACGTATACACTTCTGAATATATTATATATATATATATATATATATATATATATATATAAAAGAGGACTTAACCCATTATTTTTTACGTTTTTAAAAGTGTTTTTGAAAATGTTTTTAAAATCTTTTTAAAATACAGACATCTTTTAATACAGAGTGTAGAGACGTACTTCTGAAATACATGTATACTTCAGAAGTAGATACGTCTCTACTCTGTATTTAAAAGATGTCTGTATTTCAAAGATCTGTATTTTAAAAAGATTTTAAAAACACTTTCAAAAACACTTTAAAAAATGTTAAAAACAATGGGTTAAGTCCTCTTTTTTATTTAATTAAAAAAACGTTTATTTTAACGTTTGAAGAAACATGTTTTTAATGTAAAAAAAAACGTTTATTTATTGTTTGAAGAAACATTTCTTTAACATTTGAAAAATAATTTTAAAAACGTTAAAAATAATGAATTATCTTTTTTTTTTAATTAAAAAAAGTTTATTTTAACATTTAAAGAAAACAAAATAAATTAGAGATCTCATGTAAAACCCTGAGCGGGATAAATTGGTATCAAATATACGTTATATAAAATTCGATTAAATGTACATTCAATTTTACTCCTGTAATAGCAAATTTGCTACCAATCTTATAGCGTTTTCTCTTGGCTGCACCAGTGCAACACTCAGCTGAACTTTTGCACTAGTTCATCTTTCTTCCTTTTCTCTCCAGGAGAAGGGAAAAGGAAAAAAGATGAACTGGTGCAATCACCCTACACTGGTGCAGCCAAGAGAAAACGCTATTAGAAAATGCGAGAAATATATGGAAGCCATCATCCTACACACGGTTAATAATACTGTCGGTATATTAACAAATATTGATAATATTATTGATCGTGTGTGGTTAATATTGATGGATTGTCGTAGAATATTGACGGTAATCTGGATTTTGATCTTTGAGCATCGGTATCGCTTTATTAGGATTCATGTCAGTGCAATAAATATTATACGTAAAACTAACGTGAAATATATTGTCAATAATACTGATCGTGTAAAATTGCAAAAGTGTCAAAAATATTAATGCGTACTGTCAGTATTACTGATTCAATATTGCTGATCAGTATTATTGACCGTGTAGTCACCTAAAGGTACATAAAATGAAACTGTTCACGTGTACTTACTGATTTCGTAACCAAGTGCTAGACAATAGATGCCTCACAGCAAGTACGCAAGATTCTCTCAGAGAGAATTATAACAATAATTCCGGTCTTCTCTTTCACAAACAAAAAGAAACCGATTCACAAGACAAATAAAAGCAGGCACACGCACAACAGCAATATAAAATCGCGGTAAAATGTTTCGTCCAGACGAAAGCTGACGATAGAATCCGATGAAACACGATAGGAGCATTAAGCCGGGTTCACACCTTGACGGAAAAGCGGACGAGCAATAGTACTGTGGCAATAACCAATCAGAACTCGCGTTGGTAGGAAGTACAAAACTAACAGAAAGTCGACTACCCCAGCGCGAGTTTTGATTGGCTACTGCTCTTCCGCTTTCCGCTTATGCCTACTGCACATAAGCGATATCCAATGAAAGATTTGCTTTTTTGCCTGTGACCATCAATGATTGGTGCGTTCCACCTAAAGCCCGCAATGCTCGTGAATCATTTCACTTTTGTTGTTTATCAAATGTTAAACAAGGACAAGGAACGCAACCGATGCAAAGCGGAGTTCTCAATGGATGTTGTATGTTGAGTGGCTTATTCCATTATAGATCGAAAAATATAGACCAAACACATACAAGCTCTTAGTGAGAGCAGTCGTGCTTCTGAAATTCTGAACTCGTATCGTATTGGATTATCCAAGTTCATCTACATACCAAAATCTATGATACCAACATTATTCAAAAATCAGTCTCAATATATTTTAATAATAATTCGATTACCTGAAGGTATTGTGCGAATAATAAATAAAACAAATACGTAAAAAAAAAGGTTTTTTTTTTCTTTCTGCTTCCATCATAGGCTCATGTATGTTTTTTCTACAATTTCTGCCC